TCTTCTGACAACAGACATATGCTAGTTTGTTTTCACTCATCTCAGTTTGCTCTCATAGCCAAAGCCAGATATATCAGGGTGAGGATTTCCTTGATTGTTGGCCAGTTATTCCATCGGTTGGGTGTAAGGGATATTTTCCTTGGAAATATTGAAATATTACCATACATTTAATGCAGCACCCATTTATGAAAGCTGATTTTTAAAAATCTATTTGTGCAGCCCTACAACAAAAAGTGTAATAAAATGATGAGTTTCAGAATTTCCCAATAGTCCTTTTAACAATGTTAACAAGCCATGAAATTACAAACACCAGTAATTCTTGACTCCTTTTACATGTAATTTTTTTGCCATCTTAATCTTCTTAGGCATTAGAATCTACAGGTACTATTTATCTTTTATCTGCATAATTATATATAAATATGTAATATTAGCTGACATTTAGTAATATCTCTTCATATCTATTATGGTGTTTACTTATTAACATCTATCATGTTATATTTATAATGGTAGAATAAGATATTTAAATCTAAAAACTAATTTTAAAACACTTGCAAATATACAGAATCAGCCAAAAAATGTGTATACATATTAAGAAGAGAAAAACTTGGATAAATATTTTAACACTAAGTTTATTGAGACATCATGAGATTGATACAAGTTACCCTTGGTCTCTACAGTTCCAAGAGGTTCTCAGAGTAGTAGCCATTAGTTTCCAGAGATTTACTAGTACAGCAAACTCCTGCTTGGATAACCTTAGAGTTTGCTACACATGCATTTCAATTCCTTCTCTAAGGGCCAGCAGTGCAGTGGGTTTTCTGCAATATAAAACACCCTCAAGGATCCCTCATACCAGGGTAACACCACCTGTTGAAAATCGTCATACACTTTTTATTTTCTTGAAGTGTGTATACATTTTTTTGGCAGATTCTGTGTGATGAGATTTTCTGACAATTGTCCCATGTTAGGATGAATACACTAACTTCTTGATTAGTAGTAGGTTAATTCACATAGACAGAATAAAGACAAAGGCAATAAGTTCTAAAGGTGAAATGATTCATAAGGAAATGACTATGATGGATGGCCAGTGCCTAGAATGGTATCAAGGAAGTACAAATTAGGTTGAAACAAAAAAAAAAGGGTAAGCTTCAAATAAGAGAAGGGATAAAAAAGTATTTCACCAAAGTAGATGGTGGGAAAGGTCACTGGTAGCAGGTAGAGTACAGATGCTGAGTGATACAGCACTCTGATAACTGGGCTTGAACTCAAGACTCACAAACCCTGCAGCACAGTCCCCTGGGTTGCATCACATCCACAGTGGCCCTCGGTGTCCAACCTTCCTGAACACTGACCCCGTCTCAGATCTCCAGGAGGTTCTGACTCTTTTGTTGCCCCTTGTTAAAATTTATTGCCCTTCTCCTAGAAGTTTTCTTGGTCTAATTGCAATCTCTCAATCTCATAATATTTTACAAATAAAAGGAACAAAAATAAACAAAGAAACAACAACAACAATAAAAGGGAAAGCCAAAGGATCAGTAAAGAAGGCCAGGTCCTGAGCAAATTTGCTAGCTATGGATTCAAGGCCAGAATACTCTTCCAAGGCGAAGACCACTTGCTTGGTGGTGCACCCACAGCAGCGAAGCTGACTGGCATCTCAGGAAGACAAATTTACTGTATGTGGTTTGACCTTGTGTTTGTTTGCATTAAATACAAAAAAATCGTATATCTAAGCTGTTGATTTAGATAGCTAGAAAAAAATTGTGACAAGATAGATGTAAAACATCTATCTAAAAAAGACATGAAAAGAATTTTAGGTAATATTGTATTTCTCACTACTGAGAGTTGTAGAAAAATGATATATCCCACTACAATAACTGACAGAGAATAAAGTAATAAAAAGTCAGTATTTTAAAATGCTCTTGAGTATTTTTTTGAGACAGGGACCCACTTTATAGATCAAGGTGGCCTTAAACTCACTTCATAGCCCATGCTGGCTTGGAATTCAGGGTGATCCTCCTGCCTTAGCCTCCCAAGTACCAGGATTACAGGAATGGACACCATTCTGGCTTGAAAGTCAACATTTTAAGATGCTATTGAGTATTTTTAAAATACAAAGCACAAATGGAGCTCTGTTCCAGCAAGGAATGAATCCTTGCTCTAGAGATGTAAAGGAACATTCTTCTCTGAAGTCACCTTTAAAGCCTCTACACAACTGATGAGAGGGAAAGCTCACCATGACAGAAAGACTTTGGCTGGACAGCAGAAACCAGCAGAGCTCTTAACCGACTCTGGGGAATATACAATGGTTTGGGATCTGTGGATCTCAAAATGTTGTCATAGTTCTGCTCACTGTGTGTCCCTCATAGGTATGTGCAGCAGAGATATCTATAACAGGAAGCACTGAGAAATATCTGGTGTTACCAGCTTCATAGATTTCAAATTCCTACTCCATTTTGCACAGAGGGGATCTAAAATTCAGAAAAACTGAAGTGAGAACTCTCACTGGTGAAGTGTAGTGAAGATCATACTGTGCCAAGAAACAGGCATCCACAACACTTCTGCCCACTGTGTCCTGAGCTGTTAAGAGTCACCATTCACTGACTTATTAGACTTCTGTGCCACAGAACACATTCACTCGTAAGATGTGCAAATCCTATTTACATAGGCAACAAGGGGCAGAAGGTTCAAATCTACCATATACTGGTCCCCTGAGGCTCAAGACATTTGCCCATGGAAAGTGGAGACTATACTGAGTGTACTCTATCTAGCACTACAGGTGAGGACCCCAAAAGGCAGCCCTACCTGGCTTATGGACCTCAGCAGCACGGCACACACTGGGCCAATGTGATGGTTTATGATGCTTATCAATCTGGCTGCATGAAGACTTGCCTAGAAGATTAGTAAAGCACACTTCTGTGTGTTTCTGTGGGCTGAACAGAGATTATTTTCATGTGGGCCAGTAAGTCCAACAGGCTTGCAGCCCCAATGGAATGAAACGGAAGAAGGAGGAAGTTGGTCTGGCTGTTAAAAGTTTCATTCTCCCTGAGACCATAACATTAAGTGAAATAAAACACACAAGCTTAAATATCACATGGATTTTCCTATTTGAGTAACTCAAATAAATAAAGAGCAAATAAAAGATAGATCCTATATAGGAAATAGCTAGGAAGGTATTTCTTATATGAGAAGGGGATCAAGAGATGGAGGGAGAGAGTTGCAGGGAGGAGGAGGTAAGGGAAAGGGGATGAAAGAAGCCATTAACATGTGTTGTGTACATGCACCAGTTGCACAGAAGGTATGTAAACATTACATACTGCAATGATGTACTAATTTTTAAAATTAAAAGCTCCATTCTTCTTTAGTGGTTGCATTTTTGCTACTGCGATCACCCATGGATTCCAATGTCAAATTCTTAGGACTTTCGATGTGACTCTGTTCCAGCTTTCTCCAGGAAATTCCAGGCTTTTAGTCTCAGATTGGCATTGAATCCTTGATCCCTCTTATTGGGCACTTGCAGCTTCTTGGACGCAGTGGCTACTGGATCATCTGGCTCTGCAGCATGCACATGGTCACTGTGCACCATCTGCTGATACCCCACCTCGCCAATGATGGATTGATACATAGACAGATAGATACCAGATAATGAATAGGTAAACATATAGATGGGTAATAGGTAAATAGATAATACATATATAGATAAGTAATAGGTAGATGAATGGGTAATAGGTAGATGATAGATAGGTAGATAATAGATAGGTACATCGATAGATAGGTGGTAGACTGTGTTCCTCTAGAGAACCCTAAGAACTTGAACAAAGCTTTAAAGCATACTGCGTCTTTAGAAGGAGAGTTTGTGTAGCAATAGGGAATTAATAGGTGGTAGGAGAGATGGATGGCAAAGAAGGAAAGTAATAAAGAAAGGTTCAGGAAGGAAGGGGAAGAAAGGAGACTTTTGATGTCCTGTAAGCATACATCTTGACAGAAATATTAGTGTCGGTGTTTGGGCTGAGAATGCCACAGAAATTGGGATATTCCTGTTTGCTGTGTGCTACAAATGTGAGAATGCACTTAGTGCATATGCCACAAAAATCAAAGAACTGAATCTGAAATGTGCACTGCCTGCTGAGAGAAATCACTTTTTGTCCTAAAGCAAAACCTTCAGTATCCACCACCACCTTTCTTGCTATTTCTGCTTAATCACTGTAGTGATATATAGGTATTAGATATTTGTGAACTTTTAGCTGAAAGCTTTCTGTCTACCTCAGTTCTCTAAGGTGAGCACCAAAAGGTGCTGCAAGAGTCCTGTTTTAAATCTTACTGTAAGGTCCACTTGGAGTATAGAAATGCCAACTCCTGTCATGAGAAGATTCCATTGTTCACAGCAGTTATCCCCTGACCAAAGAGGTATAGGGAGAGTGAGCCAGAGGCACCAGGAAAGGTGACATGGGTTTAGGAGACGGCTGCAGTACTGGCAGGACAGACAAGGCAGGAGAGTCCAGGTGGACAGAGAGTGAAGGGTGAGAAACATCAGTAACATTCCTGAGTGACACCTGAAGGAGACAAATATCTTAGACTTCCTTGTTACAATAATTGGAGCTGCAACATCTGTAATAATAAAGGCGATCGTTGATCTTATACCTCCCATTTTTGCAGAACTTCTGACACACCATATATGATAATTGGAGAACATTATCTGGAATAGGAAGAACCATAGAGAAAAGCCAGTGATGTAAATTTTCCAAGGCAGGTACAAGGTGGTAGGGGTGGTAGAAGATTGGCTCCCCAGCGTGCACTGCCCAGGAGCAGTAATGAAGAAATTGCTGGCTGCTGGTAGGGCTTAGGCTGTTAGGGTGAGATCCTTGACAGCTCTCAATGCTTTGTGCACCTGTTTCATTCCTTTTTCTGCGAAAGCATTAGCAAATAGCACTTTGGGGCTCTCTAAGTTAACAAAACTCTTTAGCTATTTTTATTGGGAATCCCCACTTCTTCCTCCTTCCCATTTTCCCACATCTTTCTGCATCCATAGGTGCCTCCCCTCCCTGCCTGTCCTCTGGGGCATTCTGTCATTGGCTTCTGCCCTTTGGCTGGCCTCACTCTGGGATGCAAAACTGCTGAACTACTGTTTGGGGAATTCTAAGGCTCTCATTGCACTTCCCCAGACCCCCTAACTTACTCCGGAAGATCTTTAGATTCATGCATGTCTCATCCTTCTGAGCAATACAGGTGCCAAAGCCTCTTCTACAGCGTTCTCCCACCATGTGAAGTTGGCATGTTATACATTTCAGCGATGCTGCTGCTAGAGAGAGCACAGAGCTTCATGTGAGACCAGACAGAGGCAGGGACTTGGAATGGCACTGGAAATATTCTACCTGGAGGGTGGGGTGGCCAGGGCCTGGATGTCTGAATGGAGACCTGGTGGTGGAGTATGTAGGCCATAAACAATTGGGCCTTTTAGCAATTGCTCAATTATCCCACAGTGATAAAAGAAGATGCTAATGTGTGATTAAAAGGATCCTGGTCTTAACCTTAGTCCTTTTCATTTGGAATATTTTGAGCAAAAATTAGCCTCCAGGTCATTCTCCAGGTTAAAAATCCATGCTGTCCTCTCCTACTTGACAGGGTTGTAGGAAGGTATGTGTTGATGAGGATGAGTACTTTAGACCTTTTTATCCAAGCTAGTGTTACTGTGATAAGATTCTGACATTTCTGATTTTTTGAGATGTATATTGTTGCTTAGATATTGTTCAGTGATATATTGTGTTATTTTTGAGTTCAAGGAATTTAAGTACAGTCCTCATGAATTATAACATAAACCCTATGGAAATTAGTATGGAGATTCCTCAAAACCTAACAATAGAAATTCCTTTTGCCTTAGCCATTCTTGTTCTAGGTATCTTCACCACAGAGTTAAAGGCATCATATTACCTTGATACACATATATCCATGTTTATAGTAGCTGAATTCACAATTCCCAAACTGTGAAGAGGCCTATTATGCCCATCAACAGATGAATGGATAAAGAAAGGGTGGCATTTATAAACAATAGAGAATTACTGTGTCATAAGGATAAACGAGTCATTTTTAGGAAAATGGATGCACTTTGCAACCTTAATAATAAGTAAAATAAATAAGACTCAGAAGCTTAAATTTTACATGTTTTCTCTTATAAAAGAAAACCAAATTCTAAATAAAGAGCAAAATAAAAGATAGATAATAGGAAATAGTGAGATAGATCTTTTACAACCGGAAGTGGCACCAGGAGAGGGGAGGAGAGGGACGGCAAAGGTTTAAAAAATTAAGATTCATGATACACATATTCTAACTTCCCATAAGGAATGTAATTATTATGTACTGCAAATGTGTACTTATAAATCTTAGTGTACCCAAATAAGAAAAGAAAGAAGCATTTATTTATCATTTCATTAGGGCTATTTTCTTTCAAATTATATCTCATTTAATTTTCACAAAAGCTTTGCAAGCAGGTGTTGCGTCCATTTGTCAAATGAGCAATCAAATTTAAATAGAATTTAAAACTATGACTGGACCTTTAAAAGGAAAACCTATTTGATTTCAGAACATCCAGAATTTCCTCTCCTAAATATACTGGAAAACAATAAAGTTTTCCAAAAGAGTATCAGAAGCCATCATGCACTATTCAGAAACATCACAAAATTATTTGTTATAGACTGACTAGCTCCCTCATAAAATGAATATAGATGAAAGGAAAAAATGTCCTAAGGGAAATCTTGCTGTGGTTTGGATAATATGGAATGGCTCAGATAAAGGAGAAATCAGGAAGGAGTGACAGATATTTGGTGGCTTAAACAGCTGAAAGGAAATGGTAGGACACGGGAAATGGTAGGACACAGGAAAGGGCTGAAAGGTTGCAAGGCATGGCAGCAGGAGCATTCTAAAGGCTGGCTCCCATTACCCACAAAATGTTCAAACCTCATCCCTGTGCAAATTTTGTTAAATACGGGAACTTCCCCTGGGGTTTTGTATATCCTGTTGCTCAAGACCACTCCTCAGGTCTGGGACTCACCCACAATGACGCAGAAGAGGGAGAAAAGAAACAAGAAGTGCTTGTTCATTCTGACTCAGAAGTTTCTTGTTGGGGAGAAAAGAAACCAGGGGCTGCAAGTGCAGGTCTTTAGGCTCCAGGGAAGTTGCTTTCTCCTTCATCAGTAGCTAGTGATTATTCATGCCTAAAGGAGCTGTCACAAAAGGTTTCTTCTTAGAATTCAAGTTCATTGGCTGTTCTCCCCATGGCAGAGAGTAATGGTAATTACTGAACATCTTTTGACAATAACTGCAACCATTACATTTTCTCATTAAAAATTTATTTTTTCATTTCTCACAGGGCAGGAGAGGATGGCTATCAGGCTCTATGCATAAAGCTTGTGTGGTGTAATAAAATGGTAATGGCTGTGTTACCATCTTGCAACTCATTTGTTTGTGATGTATTTGACTGTTTTTCAAGGTTTTTTTTTCTTACATTCTCTGGTTCATTACATAAATTGTGAGGTTGGATAAATATGTTGTTCTGAAATAACTTATACTGTTTAACAAAGGATACCACTCTCTATGATGCCACAAGAGGCATTGGGCATAACACCCAAATTACATTTATGCCAGCGCCATGAAGACGTCTAATCAGCATAGATGTCATTTGTCCTGCTCAGAGGTGGAGAAGGCAGAACATTGTGTCTTTGTGTTCAGGACTCCCTTGGTTCTGGGTTGGGTGATAACACAGATGAGCAATCTGCACACTTTGTGCTTCTAAGCGATACCTTTTGTTTTAGGGGAAAGGACTTTAGCCTAGAGTCAGGCTCTAGGCTTCTCTGGTGGCAGCATTTGATTTATAGAGTGGAAATGGAAATTAGGGTGAGAAATAATGACCCCTTTAAGCAACCTGGCAGAGAGGTACTTGTTATGGGATCTAGAGAAATTAGTGGAGATATATATCTCCAACTGCAAGTGAGGACAGAAGGGTACAAAAAAGAACAACACTAACTCTGTTGAGGGCCAGCTACCTGCCATGCTTGAGGCCATCTGCTTCCACACAGAGTGTCTCATGGAGCCCTCACAACAGAGTGGTGAAGAACCCAGCAAGGAACAAAGATAGGGTTCAAGCCTAGATTTGTGCCACTAAAATTCAGTCATTTACTATATTACTGTGAATATGATGACAACAGATAATACAAAATTGCAAAAAGCCCTTTTGGGTCTGTTTATGGGCTGATTTCATGGTGATGTGTTAGCACCATAATTTCTTCTTGAGCAAGCTTTACTAATATGGAATCTAGTGCCTTAATTTTTAAAATTAATTTTATGGGTACATTTAATGTACACAATATAATGAATTCATTGTTGGAAATTTGTACCTTTACATAATCAATCTTGGTTCTTATTTTTTCTCCATTCCCCTGGCCTCTCTTCAACCCCTCCCTCCATCCCTATCTACAAAGACTTTGTTTCCATTATTTTTCATTTTCTCATATTAATTCCATTAAGTTCTTTCCTTTTCCCACCCTTCCCATTTCCCCTTCCCCTTTGTCCCTTTTCTTATTTCACATTATCTATTATACCTTTTATTCCTCATTTACACTTTCAGTTTCTCACCATTTAAGCACTTCATTGAAATTGAAAGGGAAGCAATACTCCCAAATTTATTCCTGGAAGCAAGCGTCACCTTGATCCTCAAAGCAGAGAAAGACCCAACTGAAAAAGAGAACTATAGGCCAATCTCACTAATGAACATAGATGTAAAATTCCTTAATAAAATGCAGGCAAATAGAATGCAGATGATTATCTAATGTACTCTTAGTTTGATGAGGTGCAATGGTTTAGATATATTCCAACCTACAAGGGAACTCAGGTGTTGGAAGCTTGGTGTCTTAATCATCTTTCCCATTGCTGGCATAAAATATCCAACACTGCAACTTAAAGGGAAGCAGTGTGGGTCACAGTTTCCAGGAGGATTCAGTACTCAGTCCATAGTTGCCTGGCTTGAAGGCAGAAATGGTGTGATGGAAGTGAGTGTTAGGGAAAAGCTGCACACCTCATGGCAGCCAGAAAACAGAGAAGGTGAAAGGGAGGAGTCAGGGACAAGAATACTCTTCTGAGTCTTGCCTATAATGACCTGCTCTCCCAACCAGTTCCCACCTCCTAACAGAACAATGGATAAAGTCACTCTCATCAATGCCCCTGATCCAGTCACCTTTTTAATACATGAGGTTTGGGAACATTTTAGGTCTAAACTGTAACACTTGCTTCCCTGTGAGATTGTGTTAAGAGGCCTTGAAACCCTTAAAAGGTGGGTCCTAGTGGAAATTCACTAAGTCATTGAGCACAGGCCCCCAGAAAAGATGAAGGCAATTATCACAGGACCCTTGGTTAGTTCGTGAGAGAACAAGGTGCTCTAAAGAGGTTCCTCCTTGTTCTAGCTTCCTGCTTTGTAATTGTATTGACTTGTGTTCCTACCACAATTCCATTTGCCATGATGTGATCCAATTAAAGGGCCTCACCAGGGCCAGATCCAGGTAGTTTTTATTTTGAACCTCCAAAACTGTGAGCTAAATAAGCTTTTTTTTTTTTTTTTTTTTTTTTTTTTTAGCCAGGCGTGGTGGTGCACACCTATAATCCCAGAACTCGGGTAGCTGAGGCAGGAGGATCACTGAGTTTGAGATCAGCCTGGGCTACATAGTGAGTTCTGGGTCAGTCTCAACTACATAGTGAGACCCTGTCTCAAAAAAACCAAAAATAAATAAATAAATAAGACTTTTTTTTGGGGGGGTACTGGAGATAGAACTTGAGGCCTTGCACTTGCAAAGCAGATGGCAGAAGCACTGATCTAAATCCCTGGGCCCAGCCTCTTATTTATAAAGTACTTACCTTCATGTATTTCATTGTAGTAACTAAAAATTGACTAATACATAGAGTTTATAAAATTTGATAGAAAATTTTCTATTTTTATTCTTGTTAATTCCTACATGATAAAATAATTTCCCTATTATCTGAATATTGACGACAGAATGCAAAAAATTTGCAGTGGCTGAGAGTTTGTTAGCCAAAACATGAGTTTCTTGAAAATCAGGTTTCATTTGCATTTTTGTTTTGTTTTGGTACCGGGGATCGAACTCTGGTCCTTGCACTTGCGAGGCAGGCCACCGAACTGCTGAGCTAAATTCCCAGCCCTCATTTGCATCTTTGGATGTTCTAGAACACACAGATCACTTAGGTTTTATTTTTATGGGAAATATTCCTGGAAATAGATGTATATGGACAGACACAATTAAAGAATATCCTGTGTTTGTCTCCATCTCAGGATGTGGATTTTTTTTCTGCCCAATACTTAAGCTCTATTTGGAAAAGCATGATCTTATACCTTTGCTATTTTACAAAGCTCTTTACTTTGGCACTTACCAGGTTGCTAAGTGAAAGAAGATCCATGTTATTGAGAAACTTTTGTATAGAACTGGGTTTGCAATTGCAACAAAGAATTGGGCTTTCCTTGTCAAATAGTGTATTCATATTTCTTTTAAAATTTGAAGCAGTCACTAGGAAATCAGTGCTTTTCCCATTCTCTTTCTTCTTCTTCTTTTTTTTTTTGTTTTGTTTTGTTTTTCAGAATTGATGGGGAAATAAGATACTCCCATGACAGAGAACATCTGAAAAATTTCATGAACATCAAACCAGCACTCCTAGAAAAAGAAAATTAAGGCCACAAATCCATAAGGGCCAACAGAGCAAATATACCAGGCAAGGCAAAAAATTAACGGGAGGGGGGATATAAAAAATAATAAAAACAACAGGAAAATAATATGACAAAGAAAAGTCAATGCATAATAGTTATAACCATCAATGTTAATGGCCTCAATTCAGCAATCAAAAGAAATAGGCTGGCAGAATGGATTAAGAAGCAAAATCCAACAATATGCTATATACAAGAAACCCACTAAATCTACAAAGAAATTCATAGACTGAGAGTAAAGATGGAAAACAGTTCTCCATGTGACAGAAGCCTGGAAAAAAGTGGGGGTAGAGTCAAGGACAAAACCATATGATCATCTCAATAGATGCAGAAAAGGCATTTGACAAAATTCAACACCCAATCTTGATAAACACCCTGCAGAAAATTGAAATAGATGGTCTTTATCTCAACTTGATAAAGGCTATGTATGTAAAACCAACAACCAATATCATATTAAATGGTCAAAAACTGAAATCCTTCACACTAAAATCAGGAACAAGATAAGGATGTCCACTATCACCACTCCTGTTAATTATAGTTTTGGAAACATTGGACACAGCAATTGGACAAGAAGGAAATAAAAGGAATAAAGATAAGAAAGGAATAATTTAGATAATGAAAAGATGAAAATAAGTGTTTGTAGATGGGGAGGGGAGGAGGGGGTGAAGGGAGGGCAGGGGTAACGGGAAAAAATGAGAATCAAGACTTGTCATGTAGAGGTACAAGATCCCAACAATAAATGTAACTGTACTGTATCCCTAAAATGTACCAATAAGCTCAATTAAAGCTGAAACAAAAAAAAAACAACAACAACAAAAAAAGAAAGGAATAAGTTAAATGGTCATTATTTGCTGAATATAGAAGACTCAAAATATGCCACCTAAAAACTTTTAGACTTGCAGGACAATGGGGAAAAAATAAGAACCAAGATATATCATGTAAAGCTACAAGGTCCCAATGATAAATGTAACTGTACTGTTTGCCTTAAATATACCAATAAACTTAATGGGGGAAAAAAGACTTTCAGATTTAATTAACAGATTCAGTAGAGTACCTGGATACAAGGTCAACACTCAAAAAACAATAGCCTAAAAAATAAAAAATAAAATAAAAAAAACAAAAAACAGCCTTCTTGTATACAAACAACAGACCTACTGGGAGAGTAATTAGGGAATGGATCCCTTTCACTATAGCATCCAAAAAATGAAATATCCAGGAATCAATCTAATGAAGGAAGCAAAAGACCTCTACATTGAGAAGTAAAACGTTATGAAAAAAGAGATCAAAGAGTGTTTAAGAAAATGGAAAGACATCCCCTATTCCTAGGCAGGAAGAACCAATATAGTAAAAATGGACATACTTCCAAAATTGCTATACAGATTCAATAAAATCCTAATTGAAATACCCACAGTATATTTTGCAGAACTTGAGAAAACAATCCAAAAATTCATTTGCAACCAGAAAAGACCTAGAATAGTAAAAGCAATTCTAGGCAACAAAGACACAGCAGGGGGTATCACAATTCCCAACTCAAAACTATACTACAAAACCACTG